CTCCATCTTGGATTTTAATCCTCTCAAAGGTAGTATGAAGGATTCGAAGAGGAATTTATGGATTTGGGATTTTAGTGAGTGGAAAGGCGATGTAATACAATGGTATTATTGGTAGACATTCAAAAGTACAATGCCATAATTGAAAAAGAAATAGAAATGTTAATCATTTGTAAATGAATTATGTTGTTATTGTTAGCGAGTAACAAAAGAAAACAAAAAGAAAGTATCAACATGTATTACCCATTAAAGCATTGCAATATTTTATAGACGGTGCTTATTTCATGTTTAATTAAAACTTTTGGTACTTGACACTAAAACTTTTAACAAAAGAAGTTAAAGTACATGGACAATTACCATTTACCCCAAATATTGGGATTGTAAAATTGATTCAAAAGAGAAAGCCTTTTGAATGAAAGGTGAGCTAGTTAACTTACTATGTGTGCAATAAAAAATCATAAAAATCTAAAATGATTACATAGCAATGTACTTTTATTGATTACTTTAGGTTTACATAGCAAATAGAATAAGAAAAGAATGTGATTGAATAATTGTACTTTTAAAAACTAATAATCTATTAATTCATAAACTAAAGATAAAAACAAACATGAAGAATCTATAAAATTATTGGATGAAAAAAATAAATAACTAATTTAGTGGTTACTTTTAGTTTCATGTATATTAAAACGGATCCGAGTAAAAATTATATTACTTCTTGACTTGACTTGCTTGAACTTTGAATTCTACCATTGGATTTTTTGAGTTGTATTATTTTGACTCTTTGAGTATTATCTTTTTTATTTCAATTAAAAATGTTATATGATTTTCAAATAAAACAATCTAAATTTGTTGTAATCCAAATGAAATTGTAACGATAACCAAATGGTTTAAATTATTGAATTAACATTATGATACTCTAATTATTTAGGTAGGTATAATTATTTAGGTAGGTATTTTAAAAATAACTTTAAAACATTTTTAATTTTATTTGATATTTTGATTTAGGTTTTCAATTTAAAAACAATTAGTTTATTATGTTGGCAATTTAATAAATTAGGATATTAGATTGACAATTCAAAAAGTTTGCAACTAATATGATAATAAATTCTATTTAATAATATATATAAATTAATAAATTAAATATATTATATTGAAATTTGAAAGGTTAAGGGTTTCAATGCTCAAGATGAAAGAAAAAATATATTTTTCATAGTATAATATGATGATATAATACTTTTGGGTGATTCCTCTTGTACACTTACATACGAATGAGATTTTGAAACATCCCAAAAATACAAACCAAAAATTTCATTTGAAAACTTTTCTAAAGCCCTAACATCCAAATATCATATAAGAAAAACATAAGTCGTGTGTCACAAAATATCATAAAATATGTCTTATATCAAACTGATGTCATGATAATGTCAAAAATATCAAAGTCTAAGTCCCAGGTTAAAACTGTGGTGGGTGTCATGTCATCATCCCGAGCCCTTTCCCTTGCTAGCTGAAGTACCTGAAACCAAAACTGAAACTGTAAGCATGAAGCTTAGTGAGCTCCTCCAAACTACCACATTCCATATAATATCATATAAAGCATATACTGGCCTTGCCCACTGCATCGGACCGAAGTCCGGAACTAACTAGGGCCTTGCACACTGCATCAGACCGAAGCCTGGAACTAACTAGGGTCTTGCCCAGTGCATCGGACCAAAGTCCGGAACTAACTAGGGCCTTGCCCACTGCATCAGACCGAAGTCCGGAACTAACTAGGGCCTTGCCCACTGCATCGGACCGATGTCCGGAACTAACTATGGTCTTGCCACTGCATCGGACCGAAGTCCGGAACTGACTGAACATAGCATAACATAATCATAACATATAACATAAACACATATATTGCATACTGCATCGGGCCGCAGTCCGGAACTCATAACACATAGACATGCCTGAATCACAAAGACATCAAGCATACTAAACTACTATAATCTAAACGCGCTGGCATTTTGGTCGTAGACCCGTTCCTACTGGAAAGGAAACTTACCTCGTAAGGCTGACTGCTGAAATGCGGATCGGGAACTGTCTGACTGCTGCTCTGGTAACTCCCCGGCAACAATTCCCATAAAGACACTTAATCAAACACTGATAACTAATATTAGGGTAAAATGACCATTTTACCCCTGGTCAACGTCAACGTCAATATCCTGGTCAAAGTCAACTTCCAGTTGACCTGACTCGCTAAGTTGGGCCGCCAACTCGTCGAGTCCCTATCCTTTCTTTTATCCTTTTATCTGACTCTACTTGTCGAGTTTAACAAAGACTCGGCGAGTTCTCCTTCTATAATGGCATCTAGTCAACCTTCATCTGACTCGCCGAGTTGTATGAACAACTCGTTGAGTCCTCCTTCATCATATGATCGTGCCCAGTCCATGACTCACCGAGTTGTATGAACAACTCGTTGAGTCTGTTCTTGCGGTTAAGAAGATTGTCTTGGACACGCCGAGTGTGTTCTTTCCACTCGCAGAGTCGCATGATATCCAGGTCGTGGCTCAATCTTAAAACGTCGAAACAATCCTTGGGACCTTTCTAAACCTCTGCTAACACTCGATTGGGTTCCTTGAACCATAACAGAGTTGGGACTCAACTCTGGACTCGCCGAGTTCCAAGAACAACTCACCGAGTCGATGTTGTCCAAGCCTTATATTTTGTTTTCTAACGAACAACACTCATCCAAAAGGTATATTTGGGCTTCTAAGATCGATCTAGCACATAAAGTTATGAACTTTACGTGAATGCATGGAAGTATAAGCTTTAAGGACCCAAAATGAGGTCTAAAAGGGTGCATGGGCTAATATGGCCATAAAGCTTCCATCTTTATGGCATGAACTTCGTTCTATAGTCTAGATCTGAAGGTGAATCGACTTAGGATGTCCAAGTCTTAAGGATCAAGCTTATTGACCCCAAAACTCCATAAAGGGGCAAAGGAGAAAATCTATAAAACCACAAGTCAAGTTTTGAGCTTGATTACCTGAAAGTGAAGAGAAACTGATGTTGCTCCAGGATCTTGTCCTTCTCCCTTGATCCTTCTTCCTTCCAACTCTTCTACTAGATACACAATGCACCAAAAACCCTCCAAGTCACTAAAAAGGCTCAAGTTTACCAAAAGGCAATTAGGGTTTCAAAAGTAATGCTCTAGAGGTGATGGAGGCTGGACCTGAAGCTCATAATGTTTCTTAAATAGGGTACAAACCCCTTAATTAGGGCTTCATTCAGACTGGCCTACTCGTCGAGTCCAAGTGCTGACTCGGCAAGTAGATTAGTTAAACCCGCGTCCGATCCTCGCATCTACTCGCCGAGTTAGGGCTGCCACTCATCAAGTCACTAATACAAATGATATAGAAGTAGATCAAATATGTACCAGAAACGGGGCGTTACAATTCTCCCCCACTTATCTTAGACTTCGTCCTCGAAGTCTGCTGTCTCTACAAACAACTCTGGGTAGTGTTCTCTCATCTCCTCTCGGGCTCCCACGTCCACTCTGAGCCCTTGCGGTGTTGCCACTGCACCTTTACTAGCTGAACCACCTTGTTCCTCCTCGGGAGTTACAGATATCCCTATTTAGACTTTATTAGTAATTTGCAGTGTTGTAAAAATCGGTCTAGGCGGCCGATTAATCGGGGATTAATCGCTAGGCGGTCTACAACCGAATAGGATTAAGGCTAATCGGTCGGCTTAATTGGTTTTGGTCAAAGGGGGTCAAAGTCGGAGCTAGACGGTTCTAATCGGTCCTAGGTGGTCTTAATCGGTCCTAGGCGGCCTAATCGGCCAAAATTTCAAAATTTCAAATTTTTAAATATTAAACCAAGATTTTCAAAATTTCAAAAGTTCATAGTATTTCAATGTTCAACTAATATATAAAAAAAATTTTAAAAATTTAAATTTAAAGTTTTTCTCCAAAATTTTCAAAATTTCTATGTTTTCAAATGTACAAATACCCAAATTTATTTTTCTTAAGATATATTAAAATTTGAATAAGTTTTCTTATTAGTTGGATGATAAATTGTTGTGCTTGTTATACTTATTATTAAACTTTTATGCTTATTTATTTATATTCTTACGATTAAAGTTAGATTTATAAATTTTTGAATAATTTTCATAATAATTAATGGTCCCCGATTAATCTCCACCTGGCCGATTAATCCCTAAACCCCAGTCCACTGACTAGCTAACGTCTAACGTTTTCTGCAACCTTGGTATTTTGTAAATTGATGTGAATTTTGCCTTACTGCAATAATTGAGTTAATATGAAAGAACCCTACATCTTTGAAGAATGTTGACACAAACACATCCTCCTTTTGGTTTCTAGCATTACTTACGATTAACTTCATGTCTGTGAAGCACTCAAATGAGGTTGTGTTTGATGATTAAGACGCAGTTGATTCATTGTGTTAAGAGATGGTTAATTCACACCACTCAGTTTTCCATCTGTTTTAGATTGGTTTAAATAATGAATATAACTGTCCTGATCTTAATCCCACACATATTGTGTTTCGGGAGCCAACAAAGCCACAAAGAAGACATACCCAACCATATTTTGTAGTTTGACATTGTATTGTTTGTAAATATTTGCATATAGAAGCTATAATCTCAAACAGAATACCACATGACGCTTGTTGGTGATTTCACAATATCACCTTTTTAATAGAGCATTTTTTATAATTTTTATAATTATTCAGCAAGTTAATTCAAATATTTTCACAATATCCTGATCTTAATCCCACACATATTGTGTTTCGGGAGCCAACAAAGCCACAAAGAAGACATATCCAACCATATTTTGTAGTTTGACATTGTATTGTTTGGAAATGATTACATATAGATGCTATAATCTCAAACAGAATACCACATGATGCTTGTTGCTGATTTCACAATATCACCTTTTTAATAGAGCATTTTTTATAATTTTTATAATTATTCAGCCAGTTAATTCAAATATTTTCTCAAACGGGAACATTTCATTTAGCAGGAAAAAAAAATACAAAACGTTAAAATGGTAATTTTTTATCATTCTACATAAATCTCGTATTTTACTTCGATGAAGTCTTGATTTCGGTTGTAGGTATCTGTCAACATTTTCGTAAATTGATTTTGATTTGTTGTTCATCTACTTTAAAATTGTACTTGATCACGTGATGTAAAAATAAATACAAAAAATCAGTAATGGCACCCCAAAAAAATTGCAATGTGATTGAACATTATCACCTACATGATTATGGCTTGGGATTCAAGTAGAACATTTTTGCTTTTGTTGAGGCTCTAGGGAACTGCATAATATCCATCGCAATGTCAAGTCTTTTTTGAACATCAGAAGCTTTACTTGGTGTAATTGTAAACTTCTGGAGAGAAGGGGAATGAGCAAGAATAAGTTTTATAAAAAGCAGTTCCGGTTTCGATCCTTCTAAATATGTCATCTCAACAGTTTGCAACTGTTCCAATGTACAATCCAAGCAGTTTGGGGATTCCAAATGATTTGAAGCTGCTCCCACATCAACCCAAGTCTCCTAAAGAAACAAAAAATGTAATTAACCACAGTTGATCATCAACTCTTGTATCGGATAAGCGAAAATCTTATACTTTTAATGTTCTTTACTTTACCATTGCCATGAATATATGCAATGTTTCAAGATTTGGTGAGTTCCGAAGCAAACAAAGAGCACCATGAAGTTGATGCAAATCAGCAAGTTGATAATGGAACAACCGCAATTGCTTTAAACTATAAATTGTATGTGGAAGCAATTTTGGAATTTTTTCTGCAATAAAAAACTGTGAGATGAAAGTTAGTTTTTAACTTACCCAATATACAAAAGAATTACAATAGACCGGAAATGTAGGATCTCTTAAGAAAAATAATAAAAAGTTTACCTTAAGAAAATAACTGTCGATATAAAACTGTCTAACTCTCGGAAAGTTACTCAACATTTTAGCCAAAGTCATTTTTTCAACTCCTACAAAATCTTGTATGGGTTTCTCGAAAGCAATCCAAACCTGAAAAAGGCATCGACTTTCTAATAACCGAAGCAACATTGCATCAGGACAAGCAATGACAAATAAATTCTGCAGTTTTGTAGCCTTAATGTTGAAATTGTAAACATTTGTACACGTATTCAGGGTCAACGTCTTAAGCCGTGGTAGGTTGATCCTAGTTCCACACAACCTATCCCCAAAATCAATATGCTTGAGACTAAGTTCTTCAAGATTGAGAAATCCTTCAAACTCACGTGGTGGATTGAAGAAACCGTTTGTCGTTTTCAAACTTCTCAATTCTAGACAAGAAAACACACAAGAAGGAAGTTCATAACGTTGATTTGTATTAATAATGATGAGTTCCGTGAGACTGTTTCTTGATAGGAGTAGCATGAATTGGTCGACTTCTTGGAAGCTATCAAGAAACACATTTGGTATATAAAGAGCAAATTTCAAGATCGGACCCTTGTGAAGGATCAAGACTTTGTTTATGATCCTTATAAACCCATTACGACCAAAAGCTCCATTTTTTGCAAACTTTCTAGAAAACTTCGGATCAAAAACAAGTGCCCTCATTGTGGTCCATCTGTGCCTCCAAATTTTTGATAAAATGCTTGTCCTTACAGCATCTTCAATCGGGAGCCGCTCTAAAATCGAGTCTATCAAGTGTTCTGGCAATTGACTGATCCAATCTTCCTCAGCCCAACTGACATTCCTCCTTTTAATTCTCTCTGTTATTAGATTCAGAAAAAAAAAAATGGGTCCAAGTTATATCAAATATAAAATGGAATCCAATAAGAAAGATGGAGCAACGTGACGTTTCTAATACTCTTCTTAATTAATATACTTTCATTATCTATGAAGCTTTTGGGTGTGGTAGCATAGCTCATGAGAAAGAAACTGTCTCATTGATGATACTTATGATTTAATGGTTATAAGCATTTTTTTAAGAAAAACTGACTCACGTATTACGTTTTGTAACCCTAAAAGATCATGATCAAAGTGTCTTTTAACAACATAATTATTTAAAAGGTGTCACTCATGCCACGAAACCTAACTTAAAACAATTTCTATTGGGTTCAATTTTGATCTATCCTCGAGCTTCTATTTGCATCAATGGTTTTAACAACTATCCAATTATCTTTCGAATGCGTGAAATAAATCTTATGGAAATCGGTTTCCTGATTTCTGTTTTCCTGCGGATACGTAATGATTGACAAAGACTACCCAAAAACAGAGTTTATGTTTCCAATTGGAATGAACAAAAGAATAAAAAAACATGGTGGTTAATGAAGTAGAAACTTACCCATTATCAGGCAAAACAGTAGTTTATCCGTTGGTGTGAAGTGTCGAAGAATCGGGATTCAGGAATTAGGGCTTACTATCCACCAGACCCTCGAAAAAATATATATTAAAGTGATCCCGATTTAATAGAAAGAAAGAAGAAGGGAGGGAAAACGGACATATATATATTAATAATTTTTTAATCTGTGTTTTTTTTTTTTTTTTTTTTTTTTTTTTTTTGGTTTAGGGTTAGTTTATAGGGCAAGTTGCAAAAAATCACTTTATCACCATAAATTTTCAAATTTAATGCTGATTTTTTTCTATAATTATATCATTATATTTACAATTTTGTTGCAATAACAATTAAATAACCGGTTTTACCTGTTCTCTTGATAACTATTTTTCTTGAATTGCGATAAAATCACTATGTTTACCAAAGATGCAATTTTAATACTGTTTTTTTTTTCTCAATTATATCACTATATTTATAATTTTGTTGCAATATAACCAAATGACCGTTACCATTAATCTAGCATATAACCAAATGACACTATTTTACAATTTTGTTGTGATATGTATTTATGTATGGTGTGTATGTATATCTATTAATGTATCATGCATCATGTATATGTATATTTATGCTAAAATGCATATGGCATATGTATACTGAAAATGCATAAATTACCAAGTTAAAGTAAAAGAGTTTTTTTGGCATTAGCTTTTTATCTTGCATGGTCGTAACATAAAAGGAAAAAAAATGGCCAAAGTGCAAGGTTTTTCTTGAAATTAGTTTTTTTTTTCTTTCAGAAATCTGTTAACCAACTAAAATCCTCATATTAACAAGTTAAAGTTTCAAAAAAAGTGGCTAAAGTTTCTTACCTGAAATATTTTAGGTATATAGGATTCCACCTCTTAGAATCCCGCAACCCCCATCTCACATGTCATGTCTGAATATTACATAATTCTTGAATATCACAACTCAAGATCTCTTTTATGTGTTCAAGTCTATAAAATACATATTATACATAATACTCAATCATGTGGCTAAAATCATTAAGCTTACCATTGTGTTCATAATAGCTCTATATTATAAACATTAACATCTATCTCGATTATACACTTTTAGTTGTTACTAAAACATTCATTGTAACTGATACCGATTTTGATTGAACTATAAGACCTTATGACCCCTGTTGTTATGCAATGCAGATAGACAAAACAAGTTGCACTGTACTGGAACAAGGACTAATGTCAATGAGACACAAACTGTAATCTTTTGTCGAACAAAATGGGACAGTGACTTGGTCATGATCTCTTGTTTATCTAAAAAATGTGAATACTCTCTTCATCCACATCAACAAGAATAACCCTAGAAAGTTTGTCCGTGTAGCCTACATAACTAACATCTATATATAACATTCAAATCTATTAAGACAACATGCATAAAGATTCCAAAAGTTGGAGAAGATTGACATTTGACACAGGGTATGTATGTAGTCATGGAATACTCAAAACCCTAGAGGGATTCACCTCTTTTTATGTTTTTTTTTTTCATATTGCATTTTAGAAGAATACAATTTCTTAAGTTGAGTGGCAAAACCTAGCTTAAATAAACTCAAATCTAATGAAATTACATGACCACATAACATATATATTCCACTAGCAAAACCCTAGCTAACAGATTTCATTTCTTAAATCATTGTTTGTTTATCATAGTAGCATCAGAAGAAGTGGAGAAGATGTTATCCATGTCTTCATAATATTGCCAGCTTCTCTTGCTTTCAGATTCTTTCTTACTTTCCTGTTTAGAACAAAACAAGACATGAGTGAAACAAGAATTATTAACATTTAAAAATAATGTTTAAACTTGATTGGAAAATAAAAAATAAAAAACCTCGTATTTTTGAAGCAATGACGCCCATAAAGATTTACATTGCCCAGGGCTTCGATTATACCCCTGAGTGGAAAGATTCCCGGATATTTCTTCCCAAAGTGCCATTCTTCCCTTCACAACTTGGAATCTACTATTCAATTCACCACGAAACTTTATAAGCTTTTTAACCTCTTCTGGTTTCCATCTGTTTCTTTTCAGAGGCTTCTTCTTTGTATTACTGAAATCAGAATCATCCTTGCTATCGCTTTCCGATTGCTCAACGGAATCGGAATCCGTGTATGGTTTCCAGAATTCATCGGAATCGGAAACCGCGATTCCCGTCGAGTCAGAAACAGATGTGGTTTCTTCCTCGGATAACAATCCTTCATCTCCTGAAAATAATTTCATATATTTTTACTCCATATCACACATAGGATAAAATAATTAATTAATTTATCAGCTGTAATAAATGTCTTTGCAAACATATGCTTGAAGTTGTTGCAAAAGAAATAATAGATTTTTAAAAAAAAAAAAAAGGTATATTAACAATTGAGTGCAAAAATAGCAACATGCTTTCAATGATTTCTTTGTAATTTCAACTTTTTATTACAAAAGAATTGTACTTTTAAAACTTGGGTTAATCTCATAAAAGACCTTATATTTTTGTGTTTTTTTTCCGGATTAAACCTCAAATTTATTTTTCGCCTGAAAAAGACCTTGTATTTTTTTCAATTTTTCCAAAAAAACCCTAAACTTTGTAATTTTTTTCCGGAAAAAATACTCAACCTTCTAAATGCTTCCAAATAAACCCTCAACTTTTTTAGTTTTTCTCGAAAAAACCCTCACATTCTACAATTCTTTTTTGGAAAAAAAAATGACTAAAAGGGCCAGATCTGAAAAAAATGAAAAAATAAACCTGAGGTTTAATCCAGAAAAAAACACAAAATATAACATCTTTTATGATAGTATCCTACTTCAATTTCTTTCTCTTACATCATTCTAATTTCATTTGTTATTACAAAAAAAAATGTACTTTAAAACTATAATGTTGTAATAGAAAGAAAAAAAAAAAAAAAAAAAAAAGAAGGATGCTATAGAGAAAGTTGCTATTTCTTGTACATAACCCTATAAATAATATTCAAAACTAATTATTTTGAATCATAATACCTTTAATTTCATTATCAAGATCTTTCCTTTCTTCTTGAAACTTACTCGACTTTCTCTTTTTTAAACTCCCATCAACCGATTTCCCCAAAGGCATCTCAAAACCATTGTTGACTTTCACATTCACATTCACACCAGATAACTTTTCACTAATTTCATCAGCAATAACAGCAATAGGATTTTCTATAGCATGTGTGATGACTTCAGGCCTTTTTCCACTATATTTTCTTACCATTTTCCTTAAAACTTCAGAAACAGTTCTTTCCATATGAGGTAAGGGGCTTTTTATTGGACAGCTGGATAGGGCTGCATGTGCAGCACTATGAAGAGCATCTAGAAGCTTCCCATTGTCATTCCATAAGCAACGTGTAGTTATTCTTATTTTTCCTTTAATTGTTTCTTTCAATAATACAGTATTTTCGGTTGATTGAGGACGCATGATTTCAATGCTGAAATACAGAAATGCAATAGTTAATGTGTGACTAAATGACCATTTTGCCCTTGCATCCAAACAAAAAACATGTAACTATTCGTTGGTTTAAACAGTATTAATGGAGTTTGGAGGTAAAAAGAACGGAAAAATAGGTAAAGGCATAGTTAGTGGATAAATGACCATTTTACCCTTAAGTTAGAACAAAAAACATAACAATATTCATCAGTTTAAACAATATTAATGGAATTTTGGAGGAAAAAAGAAGGGAAAAATAAGTAAAGGCATAGTTGGTGGCTAAATGACCGTTTAACCCTTATGTTCAAACAAAAAAAAAAAAACATAACAATATTCATCAGTTTGAACAATATTAATGGAGTTTGGAGAAAAAAAGAAGCGTAAAATAGGTAAAGGCATAGTTGGTGGCTAAATGACCGTTTTACCCTTATGTTCAAACAAAAAAACATAACAATATTCATCAGTTTGAACAATATTAATGGAGTTTGGAGGAAAAAAGAAGGGCAAAATAGGTAAAGGTGTAGTTGTCAACTCATGACTTGAAAATATAATTTTTCTTTTCATGACTCAACTTGTGAGAGCCATGATACTAAAAGAAATTATATATAAATATATATTACACATATAAAGACTAAATATATATTACACATAAAAAGAGTAAACTGTCTTAATGTGACTAAATGACCATTTTACCCTTACATTCGAACAACAAACATAACAGTATTCATTGGTTTAAATAATATTAATGGAGTTTGGAGGAAAAAAAAGAAAAGCAAAACAAATAAAGGCATAGTTGTCAACTCGTGCCTCATAAGACCATGATATTAAAAAAAATTATATAATAAACATATATTACACACATAAAGACATAGTATTTGTTGAATATTAATTCATATTTACCTCTCTTTCTTTAAATTATCCTAAATTTATAATATAAATGCATATTAAGATTAGACTAGATGGGACTAGACAAGATTTCTAGGGTTATTTTCAATATTAGGATGAGGAGGGCATTTACGTCTTTTACACAGATAAGAGATTGAGAGCAAATTGTCCCACTTTTAAGGAAGGACAAAAACCTTTGCAACATGCCAAACACAGTACAACCTGTTCTATCATGTCATGTCATGTCACATGCCATGTCATCATGTGTAACAAATGGGGGTTGAGAGTTGAGAGATTTTAACCTGACAATTATTATTCCATCTGTTGCAATTTTCATCCTTTCATCTACACAAAGATCAGCAGATGTACCAAATGCTTTGTCACCATCACTGTACATCAACTGCAGTTGTGGGATTCTATCAGTGTGTGTGTGTGTGTGTGAGAGAGAGAGAGAGAGAGAGAGGAGAGAGAAAGAGAAAGAGAAGGAAACCTGTAAATTTTCTTTTCCTAGGGCTATGAAACCATTAGACAAAACTCTTCTGTTCCTCAAATGAGAAACCCCAAGCATTTCTCCATTCTTTATGACCTGTTTGTTGATAACATAAAATTAACATAATTACAACTCGAAATCATCAACTCAGACAAGGTTTAGCTTACGAAACTACAGGGACTTTTTTAAAAGAAAAAAAAAAACACACACACACATAGGGACCATTTTCGTAATTCATTTTCTATGTAGGGACCAAAGCTCACTTTTGTAAATATGTT